AAATCAAAAGCTCTGGCAGGGCCTTTGAAGTCGAGCTCTTGCTGCTTGGGAGCTGCCAAGTTGACAATCAATTGGGGAACCAGGCATAGCACAGTGTTAAATTATTAGACAAAGTCCAATGAAACAATATGAGAGCACCATATGATGCATACATCCGAATGTTGATTTGGTGGGCCACACATGGTCCCAATGTTCCCACATGTTCCACCTCAAGTTTCGGCTCAACACGCGTTTATCTTGTGATGATTGAGCAAGGCTGAAGCACAAATTCAGATCAGGGCGGAAAATCTTAATATTACAAACTGTGTCTTGAACATATTCATATTCTTATTCAATCTTATTCCCTATCTTCCCTTCAAACTGCGACCAAGGCTTCAAGCTTCTCTCAACCTGGAGGCCTCTTGAGTCCACACTTGACAAGTGGAAGTGGCTGCGGCCAAGGGCCTCTGGAAAATTGTTCACGTCTTTGGCCTAGCAACCGCGAGCGCATGCGAGTGCGTAGTTATTTATATAGACCCACCCCAATTTCATCACTGGGGCACAAACAACTTGTACCTCGACAACTTGTGCCTGCAAGCAAAACGTGCGAATCCACATCAAGTCCTTCAGAAACTTCAGTAGAGGACGCTGATTCACACTTGTTCCTTCTCTTTCTGATCCTTCTCATCTTTGGAAGATCTTGCAGCTTTGGCCTGAACAAAAAGTCTTCGACCACGTTTTTCTCCACATATTGCTCCTGTAATATTGTGACTGCTCCCGTATTTCGGGATCGCAAGGGTGCTTAATAAAGTAGTTTTCTGTAGGAGGTACTTGCCACCAATTGCCACTGTTTCACCCGAACCATCTATATAACTGTGAGGATCAGTTGGGCCTCTGCAATTGCCTCAGCAGCCTGACAAACAGCAACAAGTTCAACAAACCCAACTAATAGGGTCATGACATGTCATGAAACTGACCAGGTCTGATTGACAAGGCCTCTTTGGCTGCAGCAACCACTTTGGCCTCCTTCGCAGCAGCAGCCTTTGCCGCCTGTGTCGAATGGCTTACCTTCAGCAGGAGAGGGTGTTTAAACTCTCTAAACATTTCTAAGCTTTAAGCACCCCCCAACAAAATACATGTCTTTACTACAACACTATCGTATGATATGGTTTCTGATTAATTCGAACTGTATATTTCATTTTTGAGTCTATCTCCAAAAAAGCGCTCGAAAGTGCATGGCTAAGTCCCCAGGCAGTGACATTTCGTGCTCCCCAAGTCGGGACCTCCAGATGTCTCGACATTTGCTCCTAGTAGCGTCCTTGCTACTAGTAGCGACGCCAGGAGCCCGTAGTAGCTTCTTGTTACTAGTAGTAAGGCCAGGAGCCCCTAGTAGCGTCCTTGTGCACTTGGCTGGTGTCCAAAATGTCTTCTCCTAAAATGGTGCACTCATCGCAATTCCATGGGGGCCCGCTTCTAAGTCTCCTTTAAGCTCCAACCACACTCAAACCACAGGGATGTTATACATGAAGGCATGTCAACTGCAAAAGCTGTGAGAGGTGTCTAGCGCGGACCTTTTCAGGGGCCTGTTGAGCTGCTGGAGCTGTTGTCGCTGCTACTGCTGCTGCTGGGCTTCTGCAGTTGTTTCCACTTTTTGTTCTCAGAAATCTTCAGAACGACATAGGAAGGACGTAAGAGCTGACTCAAAAGATTTGGATGTTGGATGGGCAGATTTGGATGGGCAAATGGGAAGATGGACCGTCGTCTAGCGCGGTGCTAGCGCGGATCTAGCGCCAGTCTAGCACAAAAATATCCGTCGATTCTTTATCCTGTCAGATTCTTATTTTTCCAGCTTGCTTGTCTTCTTCTTGTTTCGCATTATTCTTTTTATTACTATTGTTTGTTTTACATGCTTCTTGTCTTGCTTCTTCTGTTTCTTTTTCTTTTTTCTGTTTCTTTTTTGCCCGTTCCTCACCGGGATCTCCTAGCTACTAAGACGCTACTACCTACTGGACGCATCTGGACGCAGGATAGCGCTCGCACTAATGATTTGGTTTCTAGACTTTTAGGGACACTTAAATTGTCATACATTGTCGAAACTGATACTCCAAGTCGAGCTTAGCTGTCTGAATGCTTGTCAATACTGGTGTTGAGTGACTGTCCACACTGTCCACGGATTGTCTCTGGGGCCATGACAGCTGGTGCTCGTGAGCCGCCACCCTTAATTGCCGACGTAAAGAAGAAAAACCAAGCAAAAACAAGATAGTACAACGATGGCGGTAATACCCTTACTCAGACCTTGGACCTTGATCCTTTGCCTGGATCATTCTTTCTAAACATTTGGGAACCAAATGATCAGTGCGTGAGCTATCCTGCGTCCAGTAGTAGCGTCCAGCACCCACTAGAGTTCCTAGCTAGCGTGCTTACCTCTTCCTCTTTGCGGCTAGAAAAAAACATAATAATAAACAAAAAAGTATATAAACTTGAATAAACTAACTTGTTTTCTTTAGATATTTGGAGCTCTGGAGATCACTTGAGGCATCGAGCTCCGAGTGTTGGGAAAGATTCAGAGCTTTCTGCATTGAACTCCTGGACAGTTGAGACATGAAATGCAAGGACACCAGTCTCAACAACAGGATGCTAAGTACCAAGTCTGACAACTCCGCAAGTCTAGTGGGACACTGTTGAGACAGTATGGACTGACACTGTTCCTGCGGTTGACGAGCTGCAGCTTTGGGCCTCAGCTGAGTTTGGGATCCAGTGATGCTCAAATAGCAGCCTCCAACCTAGAAGCGATGGCCTCCAACCTACTAGCAATGGCCTGCAACCTAATAGCGTGTTGCGTGAGCCTTGGTGATGTCAATCTATTGAGATCGTGAAGGCATGTAGTCACAGATTGTTTTCACGTGTTTTTACAAGTCCTTTGGGCTAGTTAGTTCAAGTGAGGATCGAACTCACGACCTTAGGATTATGAGGCCTACGTGCTACCAACATCTACCGACTGCAATGTTTAGGCCAGGGCTTTGCCCACTCTTCGAGGGTCATTTCTCGTTTTGGAGATGATGAGCCTGAGTTCTTTTGGAGAAAGCGCGAGCTGCGTCTTCAGCAGGCTCAGTGCAACACCTTCTTTCGAATCAGGTTGCCCGTTCATTGTCCTCAGGGCGCCAAAAACAACAGAAACATACAAAAGCCCTGAAAGGGCTGAATGAGCGCATGCTGCATTTGCGGGTTCGCAAGGTATCTGGCGAAGCGGGGGCACCCCACTTGACGTTCTCATTCACCTCAATTTCTTTTTGTGCTTAGCGGGTACACTGCGCTTACAGCTGAAGTCATGATAGCTGGCGTAACATGCATGATTGATGTGCAAATGCGTGTAGTCCCAGCCATGCAAAATCAAGTGACGCGTTGACTCCATAGATTGAGGCACCTACTATTCCACCTCCGCCCAGGCTAGGAAATGCCTCCGAGGCTCTGTTTGCAACAAAATATTTGCAAGTAATTAAGCTACACGTTTGGACGTGAAATTGTCAAATACATTCAAAAAATTTGGGCGACATAAAGATATGCGCCTCCTTTTGGACCACTTCATTCTTTGGAGCCTCACTTCAGCCGCTTTATAAGTAAATTAAATATAGACCAAGCAATTTCATTTGCGAATCTCAAACAACAAAACAAGTACTGTATACAGTATAAGTCCCTCGCTTCTCGAGGACCTGCTGCACATCTGAAAAAAAAAATAAGGTGTTACACACACGTATGCAGCCCGGACAGCCGCCTGCATGTCCATTTACATTTCGAGGTTCGCCTGAGGGCCTCAACAATCCAAACAAGTCTTGGATTTGGAATGTTCTCGATTTGCAAAACATCCAACAAACCACGGATTCAGCACACATCGAAGGCCCTCAAAATGCCCCAGCTTGTAGCAATATCATAATATCTTGTGATTCCACTCAACCCCTCAGGCTTATTAGATGTTATTACGGGACCAACAAACGGGGGACAAAATCCTCGAATCAGTTGGGCACCAAACTAAAGACCCTACGACTTTCTCTAGTGTTCCCGTGAGCTGCATCTACATTCTCTACAGATCGAATGCGATATTTGACTCCAGGGTGCTTGATTCTGTATGGGATATTCACGCCGCCAGAGTTCCGAGTATTTGTACTTACTGTACGGAGATCAATCCATTCGTCTTAAGCACAATTTGCTTGGTCCGACTGACAGGGGTGATGGGGAAGAGCAGGCAGTATCAGAAGGCAGTGTTCCTGCTGCACTGGCGAATGTTTTTTTCTGCTAAGTCTAATCCCCGTGCCAGCTGGCATTTCTGTTCATGGATTGACAGCCAACAACATACCCGCAGGGGCAAGATATATTCACAAGCCTTTAGTGCAAAAAATCGGGCAGCAAAGACCATTGGAGCTTTGACAAGCTGGAGCGGACACTGGGGTGATACGTCTGCTTGGAAGCAGTCCTATTATCCGCCGACCCCGGCCTATAGCCAAAGACTAGGCGGGGAGGCGCCTGGGACACCGCAGGGTGAAGCAGTTGGCCAAGCCTTGCAGAACCCTTCCAAGCACTTCCAAAGGCATGTGTGCAGGTGCATTGTGGTTGGCCGCGGCCTCTCGGTGGCCTGTCCGAGGCCTGCCTCTCCTCTTCGAATGGGCTTTTCCGAAAGCAACGTTAGGCATTTTGGACCGCCCTCCAACCCTTCTCGGCAGCTGGCAGGCCTGCCTCTTCTCTTCTGATGGGCTTCCGAAAGCAATGTTAGGCATTTTAGACCGCCCTCAAACCCTTCTCGGCAGCTGGCAAGCCTGCCTCTTCTCTTGGCCTGTCCCAGGCCTGCCTCTTCTCTTCTTATGGGCTTCCGAAAGCAACGTTAGG